CAGCAGCACTAAGGATGTCTGACTGCAGCTTAGGCCTGCTCCCGCTGGCAAGTGGACATCCCCCGAGGGCTCCCGGGCTGCCAGAGGGATGTCTTCCTGCCGGCTTAGACCCGATCCCTTGGGGATCGGGCCTAAGCCGGCAGGTAGACATCCCCGGAGGGGTCCCAGACTGCGAGAGGGCACAGGCCAGGCTGAGGGACCCCCTCGAGTGCACAAATTTTTGTGCACCGGGCCTCTAATATTATATAAACATATGCTACTGTTTCACATATTATTTAAAATGAAGTGACTGGCAATGGTTATCTGTGATGATATTTTAAAGCATACTACTCAGTTTTCTATGACTTTTTTCAGGCAACATTCTTATTTCAAAGTTTATTAGTTAAATTCTAAATAAACTTTGCACTTGGAACTTAGAGGAACACACCATAGATTGCAAGAATGTTTTTGAACAAAAACTTATGTTTCATTAGATTAATAACACAGTGTTTTACTTGAACGGTAATGTTATTACAGATTAGGTAGCATTTGAGGTAAGGATTTGAAAACAGGAAACTCGGTCTCAATATTAAATCTCTAAAAAGTTAAGTCCAACTTAGTATCTTTGAGGACTTCTTTTTTAGGTTTATAAGGACAAAAACTCTTATGAAAGCCTCAAAATGAAACTTTAATTACCTGACTGGAGAAGCTGCTAAATTTTTCTAAAGGATTTTAAAGTTCTTAATTGGGTAAAAGTAAAATTTGGAAACAAAGCTCACTCTAAGCAAAAGGGAAGATATTCTTTTTATCTGAGTCAAACTGATACATGTTCTTTCAAATCAATGTGCCTGTTTAAATGCTCCTTGGGTTTAAGATGTCTACTTTGCCATTCTCTGGTTGTAATTATATAAGGCCCAGCTGAAATGTCTTTGCTTTGGAAGATGAAGAAGGTGAAGGTTTTCCCCTTTTTACCCTCACCCACACTCCCTAGGCCCTAGTGCAGTATTATGAGGAAGCACAGTTTTGTATCACCAAAAAGTAATTGTACTTGTTTGTAGACTGTTCAAGTTTGAATCTTGTCTTTCATTATATCTGACTAGAGGCCTGGTGCATGAAATTTGTGCACTGGAGGGGGGATGTTCCCTCAGCCCAGCCTGCACCCTTCTCAAATCTGGGACCCCCC